TTTGATGGAGTCTTTGGGGTTTTCTATGTATAGTATCATGTCATCTGCAAATAAGGACAGTTTTACTTCTTCTTTTCCAAGTTGGATGCCTTTTATTTCTTCTTCTTGTCTGATTGCTATGGCTAGTACTTATACTATGTTGAACAGGAATGGTGAAAGGGGGCATCCTTGTCTTGTTCCTGTTCTTAGGGGAAATGGGTTTAGTTTTTGCCTACTGAATATGATGTTGGCTGTAGGTTGGTCATATAGGGCTTTTATTATGTTGAGGTATAATCCCTCTATTCCAACTTTGCTGAGTTTTTATCAAGAAAGGGTGTTGGAATTTGTCAAATGCTTTTTCTGCATCAATTGATATGATTATGTGATTTTTGTCTCTCAGTTTGTTTATGTGATGTATCACATTTATTGATTTGTGGATATTATACCAGCCTTGTATCCCTGGAATAAATCCCCCTTGGTCATGGTGTTTCTAATGTACTGCTGAATTGGATTTGCTAGAATTTTATTGAGGATTTTAGCATCTATGTTCATCAAAGATATTGGCCTGTAATCTTTTTTTGTGGTGTCTTTATCTGGTTTTGGAATTAGGGTAATGCTGGCTTCATAGGAAGAGCTTGGAAGTGTGCCTTCCTCTTGAATTTTTTGGAATAGTCTGAGGAGGATAGGTTTTCTTTCTTCTTTGAATGCTTGGTAGAACTCCCTGTAAAGCCATCCGGACCAGAGTTTTTGTTTGCTGGGAGATTTTTGATTGCTGTTTCAATTTCTTCGGTAGCTATCGACCTATTCAGGTTTTTTGACTCTTCTTGGTTGAGTTTTGGGAGCTTGTATTTTTCTAAGAATATGTTCATTTCATCTAGGTTGTCCATTTTCTAGGAATAAAGTGGTTCACATTATCTACATTAATAAAAGAGAAACATGCAAATTGGTGTCACTTGGCTGCACCCACCAGCCAATCAGAGCGACTATGCAAATTAACCCTACAAATATAGCGGTTAATTTGCATACGCAGGCACGGAGCGAAGACTGAAGGCTCCGGTTGGAGTGAAGACTAAAGACTGAACACTGAAGACTGAAGAGGCTTGGCTTCTCTGCTGCGGCTGGACCAAAGGCCTGGGTCCCGGGTGCCGGAGGAAAACCGGTGCCGGCAGCTTGGTAGAACTCCCCTGTAAAACCATCTAGACCAGATATTTTGTTTGCTAGAAGATTTTTGATTACTGCTTCAATTTCTTCAGTGGTTATTGGCCTATTCAGGTGTTTTTATTTTTCCTGATTGAGTTTTATAGGCTTGTGTATTTCTAAAAATATGTCCATTGCATCTAGGTTGTCCATTTTGTTGGAATAGTGTTGTTCATAGTATTTTTTTTTATATAATCCTTTGTATTTCTGTGGGATCGGCTATTACTTCACCTCTTTCATTTCTGATTATTTTGTTTAGGGTCCTCTCTCTTTGCTTCTTGGTGAGCCTGGCTAGAGGTTCATCAATCTTGTTTATCTTTCAAAGAACCAGCTCTTGGTTTTGTTGATCTTTTGTATTGTTTTTTGTCTCTATGTTTTTTAGCTCTGCTCTGATCTTTATTATTTTCTTCCTTCTGCTTACGCTGGGCTTTTATTGTTGCTCTCTTTCTAACTCTTTGAGTTGTAGGGTTAGATAATTTATTACCATTGTTTCTTGTTTTTTGAGGCAGGTCTGGAGAGCTATGAACTTCCCTCTCAAGACTGCTTTCACTGTGTCCCATAGGTTTTGGATTGTTGTGTTTTCATTGTCATTTGTTGCCATGATGCTTTTTATTTCTTCTTTGATCTCTCTGGAAACCCAGTCATTGTTTAAGAACATGCTATTTACCCTTCAGGTGTTTGATTTTTTAAAATTGTTTTTATTGTGTTGATTTCTAGTTTTATGCCATTGTGATTTGAGAAGATGCTTGATATGATTTCCATCTTCTTGAATTTGAAGAGATTTTGTCTGTGATCCAATATATAGTCTATCTTTAAAAATGACCCATGTGCACTTGAGAAGAATGTATATTCTGTGGCTTTGGGGTGAAATGTTCTGAAGATGTCAATTAATTCCATCTGATCTAGAGAGTCATTTAGGATTGATGTTTCTTTACAGATTTTTTGTTTAGAGGATTTGTCCAATGGTGATAGTGGGGTATTAATGTCCCCTACTATGATTGTATTGCTGTCCATCTCTCCCTTCATATCCTCCTGTGGCTCCTTTGCTCTCCTCCTGTGGCTCCTTTGCTCTCTATCCTCCAGCCTCATTTGTTTGCTTTCAATTCCATGACAGCCCATCCTCCCTCCTGCCACAAGGCCTTTGAACTTTCTGCCCTCCTCCTTCACCTAGGTAAACCCTCTGTGTTCTTCACATGTCCTTCAATATTCTCTTTATTCAGGTCGTTTTCCACTGCAGGCCCTTATCTGGGCCTGTAATGACACAGTTGTTTGTGTGGTTAATGTCAGTCACTTGCAAACTCTGTGAAAACAGAATCCTGTCTGTGTTTGCTTACTGAAGTAGCCATGGTTAGAGAGGGGCTCAATGAATATTTGTTGAATACAAAGACCACACACCCATCTTAGACACAGCTTCTACCTTGGGTCTCCTGTCCATCCCTGTTTCAGATCAGAACCCAGGGGAGACTCACCTCAAGGTCTCCAGGTGGCAGCGAGGGCTTTTCAGAGCGTCACAAAGACTCTGTACTGCAGAGCAGCTTAGAGAGTTCCCACTCAGGTCCAGCTCCCGCAGGCTTCCAGGGACTTTGAGAATAGAGAAGAACATCTGCCACCAGGAATCTGTAAACAGTCCCCAGCTGTACCTGAGAGAGAGAGGGACAGAGGAGTTGTGACCGGTGTGTATGTGGGGTCTTATGTGCACACTGTGCTCATGGGATTTGGCCCCTAAGAGTGCCAGGCTTCCATCTAGAACTGCCCCTCTGTTCCCACCACCCTGGGCTAATTGCCCCTCCTCTGTGTGGTTTCTCACAGTACAGCCCTTGCCATTCTACGCTGCAGTGCTCATTTAGTGTGTCTGTTTCTGCATCAGTCTGGCAATTTCTTGTGGGCTGGGGCAGATGTTCATTTTTTTTTTTTAATCTTCAGTGTCTTGCATAGGGCCTGGCAAAGAGCTTGGGGATGCAGACAGTCTTCCTCTCATCAATACAGACATGCCTTTCATCCTTTGGCACAGATTTTGTAAAGTCCCAGTTTCCAGAAATGAAAGGAAGAGATGGGAGGTAGGAACAGAACTGGGAGAGGTGGTTTAAAGGTAGTTTTGTGATGGGATTTTTGTGTATTACTATATATACTGTTGTCCAGATTGGCTTGCGTGGGACCATATCCCCTTCCCAGGATAGCAAGACCATAGGGAGGTTCCCCAGGAGAGAGATGGCAAAAGGGACCGTTCTAGGAGAGAACATTTGTAGGATGTGGGAGAGGAGGATGGGTTTTGTTTGAAAGTTATAGGCTAGACTGCCTTGTATAATTTCCACCAATTTAAATTCTACATTTCACACACTATTTAAGTGATTTCATCTACTCCCAAATAAGATAAAATAGATTTTATCTATTTCAAGATGCAAACTGCCATCTCTATTTTATTGCCAGATAAATCCACCTCAATAGCCCAATAGCACCTTGACCCAATATGTCCCCAACTCCATTCATCTTTCCCTTCATGTCTGCGGACACTGAGTTAACTGGTAAGTGGCTCGAGTCTCTTATCCCTTTCTTTTGGGCTGTCCTGCATTTTCTGTCTGGGATATTTAGGGCCAGGCTCTGGGCTGTGACTGCACAGCCACTTCCTAGCCGACATCCAGTGCTGGTCAGGACACACTCCCCGGGAACCAGGTTCCCTGGTCCACCTGTCTGTGGGGACGCCTACTGGTCAGGTGTGATTGCCCGAATGTTTCTGATGCTCATGAGGAAGGGGACACCTTTCTCTAACTTAGTGTCCACGGGAGATTAGAATATGTTTCTTTCTTTTTTTTTTTATTGTTTTATTGCTTAAAGTATTACAAAGATTATTACATATGTCTCCTTTTTTCCTCCGCCCTTGACAATCCCCTGTCTTGCCCATATGTTTCTGATGCTCAGGAGGAGAAGGGGACACCTTTCTCTAACTTAGTGTCCACGGGAGATTAGACTCAAGGCCCACTTATGGGGAACACACAGTTGGCCATTCCCCGCACCACACCCCTGGGATGTCTTCTTAAGAATCTGCAGGCCTTAGGGTTCGCTCAGGACTTATGCCCCAAGTGCCTCATTTGCTATTGCAATACCGCTGGGCCGCAATACAAATTAGACAATGGGTCCCAATGGCCTGAGAATGGTACTTTCAATTTCCCAATTCTCATTGATCTTGACAACTTCTGCTGCCGTCAGGGCAGATGGCCTGAGGTCCCGTATATCCAGGCTTTTTTACAGTCAAGGACACATCCTTTTCTCTGTAACAGCTGCTCTCCCTCACAGATTTTCCTTCCTCTTTCAAAGCCCCCCCCCCATCCCCCATCTCAAATCCTCCTCTTCCTTCACCACTTTTGATCCCGCTGACCATCCCCTAGTCCCCCAGCCTAAGGCTCCTCAGTCTCAGCAGCCTAAGAGTCTGCCACCCTACCCAGCGGATCTCACTGCCACCATCCTGTCACATACCTGCTCCAGAGCAAGTTTTTGGCTCTCTTCCTCCCCCGACTCTGTCACTAGCCTTAAGTGCCCCCTTGGGGAGATTGCTGGTGCCAAATCTGGCTTCATGCCCAGGGCCACGTGAATACCCTCTGCTTGGCAGGCCCCTGCCCTCCCAGTCCAAGTGGATGCTGTCCCTAACAGGGACCCACAATGGAACTATCAGGAAGGGCAGACAGGTCACAGGTCTCGAGACCACATGGTTCTCTGCCTACTAGAAGGACAGAGAAAGGCAGCCCACAAAGCAGTTAATTATAAAAAATTAGCAGAGGTCACCCAGGAAAGACGTGAAAATCCGGAAGACTTCCCCTCTCGCCTTACACAGGCCATGAGAAAATACACCAACCTTGATCCTATAGGCCCAGAAGGATCCAAATCCTGAAAGGGACCTTTTATACATGACCTTTAAGGTTTTTAATGATCGAGAAAAGGAGACCCAAATCACTAAGGCCTTTCAGCTTCTAGCCACCACTCTGATAAATCCCAAATAAAGTACCGGTCCTCCAACCAAGGGTAAGTAAGGGGCTAAGCCTCCTCCTGCCCATGCTTCAAATGCAAGAGGAAAGTACACAGGATCAAGTCCTGCCCAAGCCTGAGACCCCGCCTGGGCCCTGCCCAAGGTGCGGGAGGGAAGGCCACTGAAATCAGACTGTAGTCTGGCCCCTCCAGGTCAGACCTCAGCAAGGCCGCCCTCTGGATCTGGTTTGGAGCTCCCAGACCTCCTGGGACTGGCCACTGAAGACTGAAGCTGCCCAGGCCCCAAGAGGGCCCCACAGACTTACATCACCGGGACAGAGCCTCAATAACGATTGTGGTGGCAGGTAAGCCGATCTCCTTTTTAAGTGACACCGGGGCCACTTATTCTGCCCTCTCTGGATTTGCTGGGACCCTTGTCCCCTCCTCAGTCCCTATTAAGGCGGTTGATGGATCAGTCTCACAGTCATTAGCTACCTCACCTCTACACTGCATCTTACTAAATACCCCCTCATCCACTCTTCTTGCCTGACAGGAGTGGTACACGCATCCCCTCATAAAGCCCAGTCGTCTTAAATGACAGTCACCTACTTCAGTTTCACTCTCATTCCACATAGATGTGCCATTCCTTAGATTACAAACACCTTATCTCCTCCGTGACTGTCTCTTCCTCTAAACAAGAAATACTCTCCTTTCTCGGACTCGCTAGATATTCTCGCCTTTGTGTTCCCAACTTCAGGCTTATCGCAAAACTCCTCTATACCATGACATGGCGAAGAGACTCTTCACTGAGCCTTTAGATCCCAAGGCCAGCATCCTCACCCCTTTAATGCTCTGAAAACTGCTCTGACCTCAGTGTCTTCTCACATCCTCCCATCCTCCCCCTTTTCCAAAGAACAACATTCTATACTGCAAAAACTACAAACGCTTACTTAACAGTCTGGCTATTATCAGAAGCTGAACTCATTATCAACCAAACCTTAGCATGTTATATTGCAGGAAAAATGTGGCAGTTTTAAATCCAAGCGGCTAGAGGCCTGGGAGAAGGCTGCTGGGCCTGCTCCCTCCTCCCCCTGCCTTTTCTCCAGTTTCATATGCTTATACATACTTTTCTAAAGTCTTTGGCAACTTAAACGCTTTAGAGCATTGCTGGATTCAACGATAAACATCTAAATATTTCAATAAGTTTTAAGTTCACCTGATTTTAACTTTTATTACAAAATATCTATAAAATAAATTTGAAACTTAATGTAATGTCTTGTACTTTATGAAAAGTATATTTCTTAAGAGTGAGAATGTTCATAAATATCAATTTAAGAAATGTTGGTTGTTTACTTTTTTATTATCATTGAAAAATAAGGTTTAAATATTCTATGGTTTTAATAATAGAGGGCATAAAGCATGAACATGCATTTTTAAAGGAAAAAGAAAGTGAGTTATTTAATATCCAACATTTATAGGGAACTCATGCAACTTAACAAGAGGAAGATAAACAATCCAATAAAAAAATGGGAAATGGACCTAGATAGACACTTTTTGAAAGAGGACATACAAAAGGCCGAAAGACATATGAAAACATGCTCAAAGTCACTAATTATACGAGAGATGCAAATCAAAACGACAATGAGGTATCATCTTACACCCGCCAGAATGGCTATCATCAACAAATCAACAAACAACAAGTGTTGGAGAGGATGTGGAGAAAAAGGAACCCTTCTGCACCAGTATGGAGCCTCAAAAAACTAAAAATGGAACTCCCATTTGACCCAGTGATCCCACTTCTAGGAATATATCCCAAGAAGCCAGAAACACCACCCAGAAAGGATATATGCACCCCTATGTTCATAGCAGCACAATTCACCATAGCTAAGATTTGGAAACAGCCTAAGTGCCCATCAGCAGATGAGTGGATTAAAAAACTGTGGTACATCTACACAATGGAATACTACGCTGCAGTAAAAAAGAAGGAACTCTTGACATTTGCACATTTGCAACTAGAACTGGAGAGCATTATGGTAAGTGAAATAAGCCAGTCAGAGAAAGATAAATATCACATGATTTCACTATTTCACTCAATATAGAGAACAACATAGACTGATGAACAGGGAGAGATCCAAAGACAGAGAAACAGCGATCAGACTATCAATCCCCAGATGGAAAGTAGGGGAGGGTGGGGGTAAGGGGAAGAGATCAACTAAAGGACTTGTATGCATGCATATAAGCCAAACCAATGGACATGGACAACAGAGGGATGAGAGCATGAGTGGTGGTGGGGGAGTGGGGGAAGTTGGGGGTTAATTGGGGGGTATGAGGACACATTTGTAATACCTTAACCAATAAAGAAATTAAAGATAAAAAACTAAAGTGAGTTAAAGTTGTAAGAATGTTTATGAAAGTTGTAAAAAGGCTCATGAAAGTTATAGGTTTGTAGGAAAAATGTTAAAAGGAAGTTATATAAATGACACAGGCCAATAAGCCAGAACAAGCAGAATAGGGAAACTGAGATAATCAAACAGCAGTCCACAGCCATCTGGTAAATCCTATCTTCCTAATCCAAGGACACTTAAAAGTAAATAATTTAAGAATAAACCTCATTTTGGTATATTAGACTACAAGCCTCCAAACTAATGTCTCTTTCCTTCCACCAGGCCATTTGACATAACTCTTATTGTTCTAGCTTTTGCCCCAGTAATAATAAAATGTATAAAACAGTTTGTCTGCATCAGATTACAAGCCCTACTTGTACTCAGGAAATACCACCCCTAGATACCATCAAAACCTCCTTTTGTGCCCAGGCCTCATCGTCCCTCTGACCCCCAGAGCAAGGACAATGGGCCAGGTCCAGGTGTAGAAACTCAGCAGGGTAGAAAGCTCCAGAGGCCTAGCAAGGGACAAAACTGGGGGAAAACAAAAACCTCGCCTCCAGGGTAACCTACCCTCCCATTAGCCTTCCTGGAGAAAATTAGCCCCTCTCCCATTCCAGCCAAATGACTAATAAATTATATACCTAGACTTTCACATTCCTGCAGATTGTTAGTGACAACAATCCCCCACCCGGCACAGACTATCCGATCCGAACAGTGCAAGATATTTCTAATTCATTACAGACCTCTGGCTCCAGCGCGATTTAAAGGATTTGTCTCCAGAACACATCTCTTTGTTCACCTTCATAGTACTCTTATTATCCCTAAAATGGTCTCCCTACTAGCCCTAGACCAGCGGTCACCAACCTTTCAGACCGCAAAGGGCCACCATTGGTCTATGGACCACCGGTTGGCAACCGCTGCCCTAGACTATCTTTTAGCCAAAGAGGGAGGGGTTAGTTTAATTGCTAACACCTCCTGTTGTTTTTATCTAAACTCTAAAGGTCAAATAGAGGAAAGAACACACACATTCTATAGAATACTCAATGGCTCAAGGAGGTCAGACAGGACAGCATAGTCCATATGGTCCAGCCTACAAGGAGCTCGGCCAAAATTAACCTGGCTTTTACCCCTTTTGGACCCCCTAACACTATTTCTCCTCCTCCTCCTCCTCCTCTTCCTTTTCCTCCTCCTCCTCCTTGGGTCCTGCATTTTAAAATTAGTTACCTGGTTTATACAAACCAAATTACAAGTCCTAATTAACCAGACAGTAGGACAGTTTTCCTTACCCAGGTAAAGGGACCCTATAGGCCTATATCCCAGGAAATAATCTGAATTTACTCCTTAGGCATCCATGACACGCCCCCCCCCCTCCGCCCATGCAAGAAGCAGACAAAGAGATATGGCGACCCTATCCCCCTCCTTTTCCTGTATATATACCCTTTAAGATGGGAATGAAAGGGTTAATCAAGAAATAGGGCTCTAACTTAAGTTTGTTCTACAAATCTATGCTTTGCAAAAACATGTTCCCCTTGAGCGAATATCTTACAGGAACTTCTGAGACCACAACTCTTGCACAGACCAGATACACGCATCAACAGAAGCTGCTTGCAGCATAGCCCAGATACGTGTGTCAGCAGAAGCCTCCTGTAGCTCTCCCTAAGCACCTAAAAAACCTTCTTCCTCCCCCATTTGGGGCTGACTTCTTTCTCAACCTCAGCCCGCCTGCACCCAGACACCTTAAATAAATATCATTTTGACTACATTAAGCCTTGAGTCCGTTCTGTGCAACCTTGGCCCAACTCAGAACCTTTCAGTGTTATATTAGGCTACTTCATAACATAAGAAGAAAGTCTTTCTCTCTCTATATATAAAAAACACAGTAATATGCAAATGAGGTTGAGACTCTGTAACAGTCACGACCAGTGCAGGAGGAGGGGTCAGGTGTGGCCCTGAGCCTGAGAGAACAACACAGAGGGGCACCTGCTCCAAGCCACAGACACGGCTGGGGGCAGGCCCCCAGCGGACACACACACACACACGGGACGCCTGCTCTGAGCCTACGCTGCTGAGGTCACCTATCAGGGCTGCGAGGGGAGAGGAAAGCCTAGCCTGCTACGTGTACCACTGCCCAGGAAGTGCTTGGGCCCCTTGGTCTGAGGGGTTTTCTCCGGGGCAGTCTCCTAGTTGCTTCTCTGATCCCGGTCAAGGGAAGGAGCCAGGCATGGGGGGAAACAAGGCCAGACCAATCCGGATTTTCCAATTTTTCCTGACTGTGTTTGCTCCAGGGACTGGCGGGAGGACGTTCTCCGCACAAAGGAAGGAAGGCAGAGGTGCTCCATGGCAAAGGTGAAGGCACAGAGTGCTGGGCAGGGCAGCCACCGCAGGGGCCATCCCTGGAACCTCTCAGCCCTCCAAGGGCATCAACTCGGGATGTCACAGATGGGGAAACAGACCCAGAGAGAGTTTAGACCTGCCCAGGTCAAATAAAGGCTTCCAATTCAGCACTCTCTTCA